AGGGGGGCAGGCGGGCTGGCGGGGAGGAGTTCGAGGCTACCACCGTGCTCGTCGTCGCTGCTGCAGCCGCTCTCGGGCTCCGAGTAGTGCAGCCCGCCGTTGGTGGACGAGGCGCCGCTGCCGCCACCGCCCGCCGGGCTCTTGGCGCTGCCGTTGGCCGATCGGTTCTTCCCCAGTAACTCGGGCCCTTTCTCCATCATGCCGGGCATGGTAGAAAAGGGGAGGGGGAAAGGTGAGGGGAAGAGGTAGGCGTCAGGGTGAAGGGGGAGATGGCTTAGAGCGCGGGCGGGAGGGAAAGGAGGAGGAGGAGACGGCGGCGGCGGCGGCAGAGGAGGAGGAGGAGGGTGTTAATATGGAGCCGCCATAACCGCCCCGGTCCGGCAGTAGCGCAGTCGCCTCACAACAACCCGCCCCGGCCCCGCCTCTCTCCCCTCCTCCCTCCGCCGCCGCCCGCCCCGCGCAGTCCCGGGCACCCCTCTCGGCCGCGCCGCGCTCTACGCCGCCGCCGGTATCACTCCGCCCCGCAGGGAGGTTCCGGCCGTCTGGTGGGGGGTGCAGGGGGCCGAGAGGAAGAGGGGGAGGGGCGGGGAAGCCCCGCTCGCCAAAGGGCCGGGCAACCCCAGCCGAGCGCTAATAAAATCGCCGCCGAGGCGCGGCCGCCGCTCGGGCTTCCTTCCTAGGGGGCGCTCCGGAGCGCGGGCGAGAGGCGCACGCGAGGGAGCGGGACTCTTTGCCCTCTCAGGGCGGAAGGAACGCGGCCAGCCAGAGAAAGGCCCGGCACGACCCAGCAGCCCGAGTCGGGGGGAGCGGCCCCCCTCTTGCAGACCAGGCTGCGAGTTGGGGCTGCCTTGCGGGCTTTGACTGGAGCGGCCCTACCCAGATATCGCGGCGAGTCGGCAGCTCGGCTCCCGGGGCTCCTCCGGCAGCGTGGAGCGGGCGGCGCGCGCTGGCCCGCGGTGCGGTCGCGCAGTCTAACAGGGCGGCCTTGGGGTTCTGAGGCCCAGCCGGCAGGCGTAGACTCGGCCTGAAGGATCTCGACGCTACAATTTTTTTTTCTGAATTTCTCAACTGGGACCTAATCCCCTAGGGAGACTAAGGGTGGTGGGATGAGTTTCCGGAGCAGTGCTCCTCTTCTCCCCCAGCCCTTTTTCTCTGTCTTCCTCTTCCCACCTTTCCTTTTTTCTTTTTTGCTACTTTAATAGTTGGGGAATGAATGCTCTAAGTGGGGAAATAAAATTAGGACGGGGGTGTCCTCGCCCAGTTGGCGCTTTCTCAGTCCGCGCTGACCTGTGGTCATGGCTTGGAGCGACCCGTGGAAAGGGCGGAGTCCTCAAGTAGAGGTGAGGCAAGAGCTGCATTCTGGCCGGGTTTCCAGCCTGGAAGGAGATGTGCTCTGTAATGCTTTTCTAAATTGCGTTAGGCAAAAGGAATAGGAAACTGCAATTCCTTAACCAGATTTGGAGGCATCTGCTGCGTACCAGGCTGCCTGGCATTGGGGGCTATTTATGATTTTCTTTTTTTTTCTTTTTTCTTTCTTTTTTTTTTTTTTCTCATGAGTACGTAGAAATGAGGACTTACTGCGAGTGTCTAGTATGCAGATGTATGCCGAGCGGTGTTTGGGGTCAACGGTGAGATACTGTCCAAACCCTTCAAAATAGATTGTCCTGTAAGAATTCTATTATAGGTCAATGCAGAATGGATCAAACCAGAAGTGAGCCTCTCTGGTCAGAACAAGACCTTACTGAGAGAAATAACATACCTAACTTAGGTATTGAGCCAAAAAAACCCTGGGTAGTAAATGTTTGGCAGGACCCCTTCTAAAGTGGGAAGTCTCCTACGCTTATACTAAACTATCTGGTTCTGGTAGTGAGAATCGTCTCATTTCTCTAGTTAAGCTTGATATGATTCCATTAAATATTCGAATCATACAACTTAAACCTTTTATTCTGTTCCTTTTCTCAGTTAATACAGTTCTGAATATTATTTTAATCCCCATATGGCTTTTCTACAAGGAGAGAATGGCCTGGCCAAATGAAATGAATAGCCATTTCCCTTGACAGTTATATTTTTCATTGTAAATTAATACAGTGGTATTTTGGTTTTTATGCCGGAGCTTCTAATGAACCTGATTCAGCCCCCCTTGTCCTGTAACACGAAAGCCAAGACTGAAACTGAGGGAATCCACCAAGGTGAATGCTACTCTGAGGCCTCCCAGCCCCCCAGCTTTCTAATACCCCAACTTTGCACCACCTCCTAGGCAGTTTTATACAGAAAGGAACCTGCATTTAGATCAGAAGTCAAAACATTGCAAAGATTTGGGGAGCTTTGTAACTAATTTCTGTTTATGGGTAAAACTCTTAAAATGAAAAGATTCCACTCTTGAGTACATCAAAGAGGGCAGAGCAGAGAAGACTGCATTCTACTACTGTTGGGGAAAGAACCTGGGGGAGGAAGAGTATGTCATTTTTAAAGAAGGAAAGCAGGTTTCTGTTTTGCTCCTAAAGAAAAGGCAGATACCTGAAGCTGACTGGGTTCTGAAGAATAATAATGGACCTTAAAATGATTTTCCAACAGTTAGCAAGTACAAAATAGAAAGAGAAAAGATCTAGGGAGAAAGTCGTGGAAGTGCCTATCTATAAGGAGTTAGAGGAAGTTAAGAAGAAGCTGGGCAAGGAAGAAGAAAGCTTTCAGAATAGGTTAATAAACAATGTCCACTGACACAGAGTCATGAGAAGGGTTTAAGAAAAGGCCTTTGGATTTGTTAACTAGAAGAATGTTGGTTATTTTATTTGGTTGATGTTTTTACTGTTTTTTTTTTTAATTTTACTATTTTCATCGTATTTTAAATTTGGAATAGATAATACTTTCTCATAGTTCCAAAGGCAAAAGATAGACGAGGATGTACTTCAATGTTGTATAGAGATCCCAGCAATTGCAAAATGGCAAGGAAAAACGTATAAGGATTGGAAAGAAATGCGTGAATCTGTTACTTGGAGAAACAGTCTATCATATTTTAAACATAAAATTGAAATAATCTACAAAGTATTGAGTGAATTTAGCAAGTTGCTGGATACAATGGTATCTTTTAAAATCAATTGTATTTTTATATACTAGCACTAAACAATTAGTGAATTTTTTAAAAAGTGATACCATGTACAAATGCATCAAAAATTTCAAATACCTAGTGTATTAGTTTCCTTTGGCTGTTGTAACAAATTACCACAAACTCAGTGGCTTAAAACAAACTTACTTTCTCAACGTTCTGGAGGTCAGAAGTCTAAAATCAGACTGTCAACAGGTATGCACTCCACAGGCTCTGGGTGATAATCTGTTCCTTTTTCCAGTTTCTGGTGTCTGCTGATATTTCTTGGCTTGAAGCCACAGCAGTCCAACTTCTCCATCTTTACATTGCCTTCTCCTCTGTATGAGTCTCAAATTTCTCTCTACTTCTCTTCTGTAAAGACGGTATGATGACATTTAGGGCCTACCTGGATAATCCAGGATTATCTCATCTCAAGATCCTTATTTTAATCACTTCTGCAAAGACCCCCTTTCCAAATAAGGGAACATTTATACGTTCTAGGGGTTAAGATCTGATATCTTTGGGGTTAAGATTCAGCCCCACTACACCTAAGAATAAATCTTATGAAAGATGTATAAGAACTCTATACTAAAAATTATATTATTGAGAAAAATTAGAGAAACCCCAAATAAGTGAATGGATATACTCATGTATTTGAAGACTCAAGATTGTAAAGATATCAGTTCTACCCAAATTGACTTAGCAGATTTAGTTTCATCCCAATTAGAATCCCAGCAGGGTCAACTAAAGAACAAATTTGGAAGATTTATGCTACCTGATATTAATACTTTAAAAAGCTACGAAAATAATTCATTGTGGTACTGTCATAAGGATAGAAAGTAAACCATTGGAACCGAATAGAGTTCCCAAACAGATACTTAGGTCAACATTTTATTTATACAAAGATGACACTGTCATAACATGAAAATGGACGTTTCATTAAGTAGTGCTGGGTCAATTGCATATCCATGTGGAAAAAAGTAATTTTGATGCCTACTCATACTGAAAAAAAAAAATTCTAAATAGGCTATAGACCTAAATGCAAAAGGTAAAACAACTGCAAGTTTTATAACTTTGGGTAGTCAAATATTTCTTAAACAGGACATAGGAATCACTATAAATGAAAATACTGAACTTTCTAGGCACAGAAAATAGTATGGAAATTAAGATGTTATGTCAGATAACTAAAAATAGTTTTGTATTCTTGAAGCATGAAGTGAACTCGGCTATGCAAGATCTGAACCACATAAAGCCTTTTATAGCATTCAAAGGGTTAGGCAATTTACAGATAATGAAAAAGGATCACAGATCTAAGCAGGAGAGTGATTGGGTCCAATTGATATTTTAGATGGAAATAGAATTTGGCAAAGAAATCAATTAGAAGGCTATCAAAGTATTCAAGAAATGATGAGGCTGAAATTATGGCAGTGGTAGGAAAACTAGAGGCAGGGACAGATAGAAATATTTAGTAGGTAAAATTCGCAAAATCTGGGGATTAACTGACTATGCAAAGTAAAATGGAAGGGAAGAATCTAAACTAAGGCCAGGATTTTGGCTTGGGTGTCTGGGTGGATAATTGTGTCAACAACTGAGATGGTGAATACTGAAGACTTAGGAATTTGAGGGACATGGAGGATGAATTCATTTCTGGACATAGTGGGTACTCCTTGGGGAGACATCCAACATGCTGTTGGATATAAAATTAAGATCAGGGCTAGAGAAAGGGATCTGTTAGTGATTGTGGCTAACTAAGGTCATGAGACATGTCTTAGTCCAAACAGGGCTGCTATAGCAAAATATCTTAAGACTGGTTAGTTTATAAGCAATAGAAATGTATTTCTCACAGCTGTGGAGGCTGGCAAGTACAAGATCAAGGTGTTAGCAGATTTGGTGTCCGGTGAAGGCTGTCTGCTTCATAGACGGTGCCTTATTGCTGTGTTTTCACAAGGTGGAAGAGGCAAGGCACCTCCCTTCAATCACTTCCAAAAAGGCCCCACTCCTTAATATTTACCACATTGAATGTTAGGTTCCAACATAAGAATTTTGTGGGAACACATACATTCAGACTGTAGCAATACCTGACTAGACCACACAGGAAGAACATGTAAAATGAAAAGTATAGTGAGCTGAGAATGAAAAGCAGGAGAACACCAACCTTGAAGGGTTGTGAGAAGAAATAGAGAAATAGGAAGAAAACTCTAGGAACAAATAATATGAGCCTACTCCAGAAAAGTGCTCATATGGATAAGAAAAGGGAAAAAAAAAAAGGGAGACTACACTTAGTGTCTTGAAACAAAGTAATTATAGAATTATAGCCAACAATGT